ACGACAAAGTGGCGCTTCCAGGGCGAACTGACGCACTAAAGCAAGCGCGGAGGGAGGCAGACCCCAACAACAAAACACACGTCCAAAGCGACCCCAGTCCTCGGCCAAAAGAGCCCCAAGGAGCGACGTCAACCGCCAAACGGCCCGCAGCGGCGGGGTTCACGGCCTCATCGTTCCCGGCGTCGCCCTCCAGGGCGAAGGTGCGCGGCAGGGGCGCCGCGCGAGCGGCGCTGGACTGGCGGCACCGCGGCCGAAAGGCTGGGCCTCGCAGGCAAAGGGACGAGGACATGGACAACAACGAGAACAAGACGTATGACGACAGAAATGATGACGGTGGTGCTGGTGATGTTGATAATTATGAGGATGGCCATTAAGCTGACGATGATTATGATGATGGTGCTGCTGATGATGATGCTGATGACTGTGTGTGGCTATGTTGCTGGTAGTTGATGATTGTGGCGATGGTGATGATGATGATGGTGACGATGATGATGATGATGATGATGATGATGATGATGATGATGATGATGATGATGATGATCATGAAGATGAATGCAGTGGTGCTGGTGATGGTGATGATGTTGATGGTGACGCCGATGATGAGGTGGAGTATATTGGAAACTATGACGGTGACGATGATGACGATGATGGTGAAGATGATGATGATGATGATGATGATGATGATGATGATGATGATGATGATGATGATGATGATGATGATGATGATGATGATGCCAATGATGATGATGATTCCTGGTCGTTTTCCAACAGGCACAGCGTTTCAAGTAACACAGCTTTGCATGGCTCACGCGAAACCAGATTTTACGCGATTGAACGCCTGTGCCCGCGCAGGCTCGCGAGCCCCAAAAACATATAGAGATGATGGCCCTCGAGGGAGCTGCCAAAGACCGAAGGCAGTACCCATCAGGAGAAAAGACTCTCCGTTCACACGCGCCCGAACGTGAGAGCAGCCACGGTGGCGCTAGTGCAGGTGAAGGTCCCCGAAGTGGTCTGCAGGGTTTTTTAATCGTCTGAAGAGAGCCCCCGGCGGGCAACCACAAACAAACATTGGAAAGATCGCACCAAACGAACTGTTGGTGCGCAATTTCCCACATCCCCTGTTTTGAGCCGGGCCGCGATGAGGCGAGATGAGGAAAACGACGAGGAGGGAGGCTACGCCCGCCAGCAGTGGCTCGCACCGAGTCCGCAGATCTGCCTGCGCGCGCGGACTCACTGACGGCCTCACGGTATAGTTTCGATGGCCTACTAAATGCGGCCTCCTAGTGTTTCGATCCACGGTGTTCCCAAGATATCGACTGCGGCAATGCCTACAACCCCTACGGGCAGCGTCCCTCCTGTGATCTAAGAAACCAATATGGAATCAAACTTCTCCACGACAAAGTTGCGCGCCGCGAAGCACAATTCCAACCTTGCAACCCGATTCCCGCAACGACATCCCAGATAGAACACCATGCTAAGAGTAATCACGAGGTAGAGCACGTTCACGGTGAAAATGGCAGCGCGGACGGCGTACTCGATTTGGTCGAAAGCGCTTCAGGCCATGTTCTTGACGACCTCGAAGAGCGCGTCTATCCGCTTCTCCCTGGGCCGCGGGGGGGCCTCGCTTTGGCCCGCGTCCTCGATGATGCGGCCCATGCGTTCGGGGACCTCGACGTCCGACCACTTCTCGATGACCTTCTCCTTGAGCTCCTCCATCGCGCCACTCTCCACTTTAAACACGCGGACACACCCCGCGACAACGCAGGCGCGCCGGGCGGCCGTCGGCGCAGCGGGCGGCACGGCGACTGACAGCGGCGACGGCGGGAAGGGACGCGGCAAGCCCGGCGGGGCAGCCGCTGCTGGCGCAGTGGCAGCACTCCCCGCGGCCGCCGGGGCGCCGACCTGCACCACACTGGGGGCAATGGCGGATGACAGATGCGGGGGCGATCGCATCTGCGATCTTGCCCTGCCGCTCATACTCCTCGGCGCGCGCAGCCTCCCGCTCCTCTTTCCCCTCGGGCTCCGCCAAGTCTTCGTCGCCATTGCTATGCTCACGACGAACCACTCGGCGACCTTGACCTGGTCCGCAACATCCGAACTGCTCGAGCTGCTCGAACGACGTTTCTCCTTCTGATTATTATTATTATTATTATTATTCTTCTTCTTCTTCTTCTTCTTCTTCTTCTTCTTCTTCTCGGCACTGCTTGGGCGGGGTTTCTGCTCGGGCCGCCGCGTCGGCGGCCGAGCGCCGCGCCCGCGAGATTGCTGCTGACCGCGCCCGCCATGAGATTTGACCATATATGGTTGCTTCTGGCTGTGACGCAATGACCTCGCGGACCTTCGAGCCTGAACAACTGCTAGGTAAAGGGGGACGAGCGCGGACAAGTGAGAGATAATGTGATATCCCAGAAGGAACCCCACACGCACGGCAAACTGCAGTCCACGAATCAACACCAATCAGAAACACCTAGAACCCCCCAAAAACAACTGACCTCGAAGTCCTGCACACAGCGCGGGCGACCGATCAAGCCACGGGGGCACGTTGTTGTTCTGCCTCGGTCCGAGGCCGAAAACCCAGCACGATTCGGGCGCCGGGTAATTCCACCAATTTGCAAGGCGAGCACGCGCAACCCTAGGTCGAGCTGCTCGCGCGCGCGCGCGAGGATCGCCAAATCCACTGCATCTGCTGTCGAACACGCACGATAGGGGCTGAGAGCAACCCGAGGCGAACAGGAACATGGCACAGCCAACGCAGCAAGAGCTCGAAAAAATGAAGGTTCCATCGACGCATCGAAGCCGGAAGACAACCCCAAAAGACTGCGCCTGGGAAAAATCAGCGGGACAACCTGGGACCGCGACTGGACCTTTAAAACTAGCACCTCCTCGTCGTCAAGAACGACGGTCACCGCGGCAGCAGATATCACAACACCAATCGACAGTCCAATGAGCACAATGACCTGAGGGCCGAGGGCGACAAGGTTCAAGGCCGCGGCAGTCTGCAACGCGAGGGCTCGGAGCCCCAGAACCAACTGCGCGACAACGCACCCCGCGAAGGCAGGCGATATCGGAACTTCCGATCATGCTGGAAGTGAATGTCCAGGGACTGGGCAACGTCTGAATACCTCCTGGGGAAAAAAGCAGGCCCACCCCGCGATGCCAGGCAGGCCTCGAAGGCGCGGTCGAGACCAAAGCTGGCAACCGTAACGGAATAAATGGGGGGGGCGCGCCTAGAACTGCATCCTGAAACGTCAGAATCCAAACTCACTCGCCCATCCTTCAACAACGGCACGGCGTCTTGCACATCCAACACCTCGCGCGGCGCGGATGCCTCGACGACTGCGCGCACACGTTTTAAGCTACTGTTCTCCAAGCTGCAGGAAGCGGCATCGCTGACACATTCAAGGGCCCCCGAGGACATGAGCGATCTACTTCGTGGAACTCTTCTCGCCCTCGTCGGTGCAGCACCTCGACTTGACGACAGCAAAAAGGGCGGGCGGCGCAGGTGGCCCCGCTCCTGCTCGCGGGTCGCCGCGAAGCCAGGCGGTCAAGGCAGCGCGCGCTAGACCGAACGCGACGGGCAACACCTGCGACGCGGAGAGATCCGACCTGGTCTTTGAATTCGAATCCGCGGCGCCGCGGCGATCGCGTGCGCCAAGTTCGCGCACGACTGCTGTGGGTCCACAAACCAGACCTTCAAAGCATCGCGATCGTCAGGCAAAAAACGTCGTACTCGCTGATCCACTGGTATGTCTCGAGAGCGCTGCTCCTGCACTGGCCATGCTGGGGAACATCCTGGAATGGAGAACGTCATGAGCTTGCCAAAACGATGCGGTTGCAGTGCAAGACGGACGCGCGGAAAAGCCGATGCTGTTCAACCCACCCGGACCAGCCTGCACGAATTGCCCATCGCATAGACTTCGGAGCTGGCCAAACTCCCACTTCCGAAGGGGCAACATACGCTTAGAACGACTCCAGCTCTGCATGCCGTTCAAGGACGTCAGACAGTACATACTGCCATCTGTAGAAATCGAAGCGGCGAAGACGACGTTCGGAGTCTAATTCATCGAATCAAGACGAGGAGCGGCCATAGACCACTGACAAATGCTTCTGGGACCATCTGCGAGCTGAGTATACTCGCACTGACTGCAACGCATCCCAGACCAGACGCCGTATCAGAGGAACGCGGGCTTCGAGCTGTCGAGGGAAAACAAGTGGACGAACTCTGATAGGAGGGAGACGAAGCCGACGCAGAACCTACTCAAGAATGCGGAGCGCTGCTGTCTTGGGCGCGGCTCTGAATATGGTTGACTCGAGGTTGCCTGCAATGCGGTACAAGATGGTCAAAGCATCGCCCCCGTGACAAGGGAGGGGAAAAAACCGAGAGACGGCCGTGAACTTGCAGAGTACGAACACAAAAGATTTAGATGATCTGGGTGAATTATCCACAGCGGACAGATGAAGCCAAACATCACAACGCAGGTAGTCTGGAGCCACCGATACAACACTGCACAGGCCCTTTCCTTGAAGTGATGGGCGAAGGAACTTTGAGCGTGAAACGTTCTGACAGTTTCTGCTGAAACTCTTGATCTACCCACAAGTAGTGCAGCTGTTGTGCCCGATGTCGCGGTCAAGGACGACTGAGGTGTGCCGCGCGCTCAGGTCGTAAAGCTTGCCCGGCTCACTTGTCAGCTCGCCACTGAAATTCATCTGCACAATCACAAACAGGGTTCAAGAACTTGACCACGGCCGCCTCCGCAGCGAGCGCTCGAGCTTCCGAACCCACTGCGACGATCCGGACAGGAAGAACGAGCCGATGTTTTCCTTGAGGGCGCCGTACCTGGCAAGAAGGTCGTCCTTGGACTGAGGCAACAGAAAGCCTGTCAAGTGCTCCAATGCTCGAGCTGCTAGGCCGCGCCGCACACCAAAGGATCGCACGAGGATCGCAATGAGATAGACGGCGACCTCCGAGCTGTCGGCGGTCAGTATCCACTGCGAGATCCGCGACCATGCCAATGATGGGCGCGAGATTATGTCATCCTGGTACTCCGACCAGAACACACAGCACTGTTGCCGAAACCATCGCGGACGGCGAGCAGCACTGCGAACACGCTGGAATCGACAAAGTCCAAACGCAGCCAAGATCAGACATGTGGTAATTTTCTTTGGCCTCTGTGCGCCCACCGCTTCGGTTGAAGGGTGGGAGCAACACGTCGACTGACTTCGCCAAAGCTGCCACAAGGCTCGCAAGATCATCTGCTTGAACACACGAATCACACCATGAGACAATCCATGGCAGGCTCGGAACTGAAGGTGTTTCAAGACAAAACACAACCGCTGAGGTTCGGGATTACGAAGAACGAAGTGATCGGGAGGTGGCCATCGGTGACGCATGGACAGCTTCCTGACGTACGATATGTGTACCCTGCCACGGTACCGAAAGACTGGAAAACTGGAACTCTCCGCGAGCCGTTGCCCTGAGGCCGGATCCCCGAGGAACTTGTGATGATTTCTGGCCGCTTTTTCCATTTCGTGCAGTCTTTCAGGCTGCAGTGTTTTGCATGGCTCACTCGAGATCGAACCTTACGCGGTTGAGCGTCTGTCACCGCGCAGGCTCCTGAGCCCAAAGGGAGCTATGATGCTGATGATGATGATGATGACGGTGATAGAGATGATGATGGTGATGGTGATGGCGATGGTGATGGTGATGGTGATGGTGATGATGATGATGATGATGATGATGATCATGGTGGTGACAACGATGATGATAATGATGATGATGATGATGATGACGATGATGATGACGCTGATGATGGTGGTGGTGATGAATGGTGCTGATGACGACGATGATGATGATAATGGTCATGATGACTATGGTGATGATGATGATGAAGATGATGCTGATGATGATGATCATGATCATGCTGATCATGATGATGATGATGATGATGATGATGATGATGATGATGATGACAATGACATGACAATGACGATGACGATGACGATGACGATGACGATGACGATGATGCTGCTCAACGCGCTCGCGCGCGCTAGCACCCACCCGTGCCCAGGGCCTCCCGTCAGAGCCAGGCGTCGCGAAAAAATACCCTGGCGAAGGACCCGACCATATGCAGTTGCGAGTACCGCGTTGTGGGCACCGCTTTCGGCGGAGCCCCCTGTCGAGCCACGAAACATGTGACGGGTGTGCCCACATGGGCGGGGAACTGCATGTGGACCGTGCCACTGGGCCTTCGGTATAGCTCCCTATGGGGCCACAAAACGTGTGAGGGATGTGCCGAAATTGACGGGGAACCGCATGCGAACTGTGCCACGGGGACCTTCGGTGGAGCTCCCTATAGGGCCGCGAAGCGTGTGAGGGGTGTGCCAAAATGGGCGGGGAACTGCATGCGAACTGTGCCACTGGGACCTTCGGTGGAGATCCCTATAGGGCCGCGAAATGTATGGGGTGTGCCGAAATGGGCGGGGAACCGCATGTGGACTTTGCCACTGGGACCTTCGGTGGAGCTTCCCATGGGGCCACGAAACATGTAAGGGGTGTGCTGGAATGGGCGGGGAACCGCATGTGGACTCTGCCCCTGGGGCCTTCGGTTGAGGTCCCTATGGGGCCACGAAACGTGTGAGGGGTGTGCCGAGATGGGCTGGGAACCGCATGTGGGCGCTGCCACTGGGGCCTTCGTTGGAGGTCCCTACTTTGGGGCAACGGAACGTGTGAAGAGTGTACCGAAATTGGCTGGCAATTGGGCAACGAAACGCGTGAGAGGTGTGCCGGAATTGGCGGGGAACCGCATGTGAACTTTGCCACTGGGGCCTTCGGTGGAGGTCCCTGTGGGGCCACGAAACGTGTGAGCGGTGTGGCGAAATAGGCGGGGAACCGCGTGTGGACACCGCCATTGGGACCTTCGGTGAAGCTCCATATGGGGCCACGAAATGCGTGAGAGATGTGCCAAACTGGCCACGCGGAGAGCCGAAGGAAAGGGAGGGGAAGGAGGGGGGAGGAGGAGGAACGAGGAGAGGAGACGCGGGGCGATGTCTCTTCAAAACGAAGACCCAACACCGCAGGATGGTTGGGAAAAAAACGATGCTGCCCAAAAACACATTCACCCCAGCCCTCGGCCTTTCCTTCGCGCGGGACTTCTTGAGGCGGATCGACCCATGAGGGTCCCAGGGCCCGAAAGGGAGCGCAGACGCACGTCTTGTCTTCTCTTTGTAACGACTGGGTGCCAAAGAATGAGGACTCGCATCAGCTCAAGTTTGTGTGCCCAAATGGGGTGTGATTGCGTGGGCGGGGAACCGGATGTGGATTTTGCCACTGGGACCTTCGCTGAAGCTCCTTATGGGGCCACGAAACGTGTGAGGGGTGTGGCGAAATGGGCGGGGAACCGCATGTTGACTTTGACACTGGGGCCTTTGGTTGAGCTCCCTATGGAGGCAAGAAGCGTGTGAGGGGTGCGCCGAAGAGGTTGACATGCGGAGGGCAGAGGCAGGGATGGGAGCAGGGAGCAGGGGAAGGAGGGAGTGAGACGCGGGGCGCTGCCTCTGCAAGACGAAGACCCAACACCACTGGATGGCTGGGGCAAACCACAACGGCTTCTCATAGATTTCATCGGCCCGAGGAGACCGCTCCCTGGCCGCGGTGAAGGCAGGAAACGCCCTGGGATGGAAAGCTGCCCTCCCGAGGGGGCGGTCGAGATCCCCGGGGGCCACGACAGAAGGAACAACGGAGGGAGGAGGAGGAGGAGGAGGAGGAGGAAGAGGAGGAGGAGGAGAGGGAGGGGGCTGCCCGCGGCCTCCCCGCTGCTGCCTGCCCCCCTCGGGCGGACAAGCGTCCGGGCCTGGCGAAGGCCAGGCGGGCTCCGCAGGAGGCCTGGCCCTCTGGATCGTGCCAGCTGCTGTTGAAGGGGAACTGGGACACACAAATAAATACACACAAATAAAAATATCCCCCATATATTCACATATGTTTGGGGGTTTTGTCTTCCCCCCCACTTCCCATATTTTCCTATATTTTCTGGGGAATCGAAGATTAATTGTGTCTGTGTGTTTTTTCCCCTCCTGAGCTGTGTCGCGCGAGGGATCTGAGACACGCACAGGCAGCACACTGAGAGAGGAGGAGGAGGAGGAGGAGGAGAGAGGCGGGTCACGCCGTGGATGCTGGAGCAGGCGAGTCGGTGTCGGAGTGCTCGCCATTGGCAGGCAAGAGCTCGGCGTGCATGTCTTGGAAGTGGGCGAAAGCTGAGGCAGCAAAGGCAGGTTCAGCGAATCAGCTGCACGCAGCTGGTTTTGCAGCAGCAGCGGCATCGCCACCACCATCATCGGCGTCGTCGACGTCGTCGTTATCATCATCGCCGTCGTCATCGTCAACATCATCACCATCCTCATCAGCATCATCATCATAATCAGCAGCAGTATCATCATCATCATCATCATCATCATCATCATCATCATCATCATCATCATCATCATCATCATCATCATCATCATCACTATCACCATCATCATCAGAATAATCATCAGCATCATCCTCAGCATCATCATCATAATAATCATCAGCATCATCCTCAGCATCATCATCGTCTTCGTCGTAGTAGCATCATGATTACCATCATAATCATCCTCCCCAGCATCATTATCAGCGTCATCGTCATCGTCATCATTATCCTCATCGGCAGCAGCAGCAGCAACAGCATCCTTAGCACAAGCAACCTCACCATCAGCATCAACATCATCAGCAGCATCATCATCGTCTTCATCACCATCATCGTCATCAGCATCATCAGCATCATCGTCATCAAGAGCAACATTAACATCATCAGAATCATCATCGTCTTCATCATCAACATCATCAGCGTCATCGCCGACGCCATCGTCAGCATCATCGGCAACGTATCGACACAATGCGCCAGGCGGCGGGGCCATCGCCAGCTGCTTGCAACAGATTGTGCACACCCAACGTTCCCGCATCATCGTCGTCATCATCATCATCAGCAGCAGCAGCAGCCGCATCATCACCACAACCACCACCACCATCATCATCACCATCATCATAACAACATCAACATCATCATAATCAGCATGATCCGATCCATCTTCATCACCATCATCATCAGCAGCAGCACCACCATCACCAGCCTCATCATCATCATCAGCGTCATCGTCGTAATCATCAAAATCATCATCCTCATAACCATTATCAGCATCATCCCATCGTCATCATCAGCATCATCATCATAATCATCATAATCATCAGCAGCAGCATCAGCATCCTCATCATCATCGTCATCATCATCATCATCGTCATCATCCTCATCATCTGCAGCATCATCATCAGCAGCAGCATCAGCATCATCAGCATCCTCATCATCATCGTCATCATCAGCATCGTCATCATCATCATCATCATCAGCGTCACCATCATTATCATCATCATCATCATCATCATCATCAGCAGCAGCAGCAGCAGCAGCATAAGCATAAGCATCAGCATCAGCAGCAGCATCATCATCGGGTGCAGCCTTTGCTTAGGACGGGGCTGCGTGGAGAGGCATAGGAGGAGCAAGGCAAGGGCGGAGCGCAAGTGGTCGTCGCTGGGCCGCGAGAGCGAGGCGCGCTCGGGACGCCAGGAGCAGCAATGCGACCGACGCGACCGAGGAGGAGGAGCAGACAGCAAGTCCGCGACATTACTCCAGCTCTGAACCGCTCGAGCTCGCAGTCGGCACAAGCCTCGCCATGCCTCTCGCCGGGGCAGCCGCCCGCGAAGCGCGGCCTCCCGCGCAGTCGCACTCACACCTCCGCGGACTCCGCCTTCTCCGCCGCGGCATGCGTCCCGAAGTACGCGAGCGCCGCGGCGCCTGCGCCCATCAGCTCGAAGACCGTGTAGAGCATGCCCTCCTTGAAGATGCCGCCAAAATTCGCGCCGCCGATCGCGTCGCCCGCCGCGATGCCGAACGACACCGCGGGGTTCAAGCTTCCTCCCGAGATGCTGCCGATTGCAAAGCCCCCCACGGTGACACAGGAGCCGATGGCAAGCCCGAACACCTCCGAGTACTTTCCTTTATCCGCGCTGGGCGAGCAAGCGACGCTCAGCACGACGAAACAGAGCACGAAAGTGAAGAAGATCTCGGCTGCTCCCACTTCGGCCAGGCCGAAGCCCTTGCCTGGGCCAAGGGCGAAGCTCTTCCCCTGGTAGATGCCCGTGTAGGTGCAAGCTGCCAGGATTCCACCTATCACCTGGGCCCCAACGTAGATGGCGGCATCCTTCGCATCGATCTTCTTGATCCCCAAAATCGCAGCAGTCACGGCGGGGTTGAAATGCGCTCCGGACACGTCACCCAGGGCGAAGATCATGCACATGAGCGATGCCGCGATGGAGAAGGCCCCGGACGGGGACTTCGCCAGGACGTTGAGGCCGACCGTCAGCACGAGCATGTAGGTCCCAAGGATCTCGGACGTCACCTTCGCTGGCAGCGCAGCTGGCTCCCCGTTGTCAAAGGCCTCGGGCCGCACCACCTTGAAGAGTGCTGCCGCCAGCGCAGCGCCGGCGAGCTCGAACAGGATGTACAGCGGGGAGTAGCCGAAGCTCAGGCTGCCCGCCTCGATGCCGAGTGCAACGGCAGGGTTGAAGCAGCCGCCCGAGACGGCCCCCGCCCCGTACGCGCCTGCCACGATCACGAAGCCAATCGAAAGACCGTAGAACTGGTGCTTGCCTGCGTTAGCCTTGGCGCAGGCGGTGTTCAGGACCACGAAGCAGAGCATGAACGTGTAGAGCAGCTCGCACGCGCCCGCCTGCCACCACGAGAACTCGCCGACGGGGCCGAGGGCGAAGCCGGCCCCGAACAGCAGGTGGTAGAGGAAGCCCGCGAGCACACCTTTGGCGGCACGCACAAGGGGGTGGAGGGAGGGGGGAGGGCTTCTTAGAAGGAGGCTGCTCCTTAGAAGGCGCCGGCCTTACATCTATAGATAAGGCCCGCGCCTTCTGAGAAGCAGGGGTGCTTCTAAGAAGCCCTCCCCCTTCCCCCCACCCCCCTCTGCGCGCGGCTGACACCTGCCGAGATCTGCACGAACGAGTAAGCTGCCACGTCCTGCCAGGCCAGGTTCCCGGTGATGCCCAGCGTCACGGAGACCGCGGGATTGAAGTTGGCCCCAGAGATCGGCGCCAGGGCGTAGATGGCAACCATCAAGGAGCAGGCGATCGATACTCCGGCCCACACGCTCTGCTTGCTGAGGACGTTGCAGCCCACGGTGAACACGAGAATGAAGGTTCCGATGAACTCCGCGAGGTACGCCCTGATGTCTGCGGCCATTCTGAAGGCAAGCTCGCTCAAGTGCTACAATAAGGCTGCTGGGCTCTGCCGCCGTCTCGAACTGGATCCAGACTGGCTATGGACGAAGGAGGGAGGAGGAGGAGGAGGAGGAGGAGGAGGAGGAGGAGGAGGAGGAGGAGGAGGAGGAGGGGGAGGAGGAGGAGGAGGAGGACGACGAGGAGGAGGAGGAAAAGGAGGAGTAAAAGGAGGAGGAGGAGGAGGAAGGGGGAGAAGGACGAGGGGGAGTAGGGGGAGGAGCAGCAGCAGAGGTAGAAGCAGGACCAGGGTGAAGAGGGGGGCAGGAAGAGTGGCAGAAGCACAAGCGGGAGATTGAGATGGAGGAGGGAAGGCCACCTCTCCCCAGGACACCGCGACATGGACATGGTGCTCTCGGCCCACGAGCTGGTCGGGAGGGGGGGGGCCATGCAGGCCCCGTGACGAATGAAACACAAGCTCCCACCGCCACCACCACCACCACCACGACCTGACCTGACCTAACCCGAGCCCTTAGCCTACCCTGCAGCAACACATGACAAGCTCCAGAGACGCTGGCGTTGACCGCTCTTCGGGAAATGTTTGTGGTTCCATCGCCTTCCATCGAGCTCCCGCTGGCGGCGCCGCCGTCGATTCTGCTTCCGCTGGCGTCCGACGACCTCCCGCCCGTCTCCACCGAGGGCGAGATGTCAACCTCTCCGTTACTTGAAGGCGAGGCCCCGTCTTGCACCCCCCCCTTGTGACAGGAGTTCTCGCTGACTGATAGGCTTGCAACACAGGCTTCCTGAATCATGAAGTTGGTCAGGTGCCCCAGAATTTCAGCGGACACCGGGCAACAAGAGCCACCGTAGTGCTTATGCTGATGAGCTGGCTCCTGATGTGATGTCTCTCTCTCTCTCTCCCCTCCATTCAGCTCATCCTCCCATCCCCTCTACTCCCTCCCTACCCTCCCATCCCTGTCTCCGCTTACCTTCCCTCCCGACATACCATTACTGCCCCTTTAAAATCGACCCCTCGACCTCTCCGAGGCGGATCCAGCCGTGACGAGGGCTCCTAGGAGCTAAAATGAAGAACCACCAACATATCAGCCGCCTCCATCCCCCTTCCCCTTTCCTCCCCTTTCCTGACCCATCTTCCTTTTTCTTCCCTTCGTTCACCCCCACCCCCAGATCTCCCATGGAACTCTCGACCCCTTCCTGAGTCGATGTTCAACGGCCCTGGTGCCCAGAAGCGGCATCCAGGCCCTGAAAATTATAAAAACCCTGCGTCGCCATGTGTCAAAGCCCCTCACAAACCCTGCCTCCCGTTCCTCTATACACCTTTCGCTCTCTTCCGTCCCCGCCGCTGCATCACCACCTTCATATCCCCTTGTCCCCTTTGTCATCGTCCTCGCCGTCACCGTCGTCGTTGTGTTCCTCCTCCTCCTCCTCCTCCTCCTCCTCCTCCTCCTCCTCATCATCATCATCATCATCATCATCATCATCATCATCATCATCATAATCATCATCATCATCATCATCATCATCATCATCATCATCATCATCATCATCCTCATCCTCATCCTCATCCTCATCCTCACCGCCTCACCCTACCAGCACTTGGGCTCGGCACTGAAACCTGAAATCCAGAGTACTTCCTCCTCACGTTTATACTACTTCCACGGGGTACTATTTCATCCGTAGCGTTCCTGTAAATATGATTAGTCTGTGTCGTGTTATGTGTCGTATGAGTACGCTTCTCAACCGTGATACAAGAAAATGCGATTCATCATTTCTGTCTGCTCATGTATTCATCATGTCTTCCTCCTCCTCCTCCTCATCATCACCCTCCTCAACCTCCTCCTACTCCTCCTCCGCGCTAGGCCCTCCCTCCTCCTCCTCCTCCTCCTCCTCCTCATCATCATCATCCACTCCCCCTCGGCGGTGGACAAACCTCCCTTTAGTAAACCTCCCCTTAGTGAAAACAGCCTGGGACCGAAACCGACGGACCTAGACCCGCAAAAATGACGGCCGCGACGCCCTCTCGCGAACCGAGAACGGCTAATTCCTTAATCGACGTGTCGGGGTAGGAGGTCTGTCCACCCCCGATCCTCCTCCTCCTCCTCCTCCTCCTCCTCCTCCTCCCTCCTCCTCCTCCTCCTACGACGGCGACGAGCTCGACGACGAGCTCGACGACGAGCGACGACGACGACGACTCCGCCGCCGCCGCCGCCGACCGCGCGGGCGGAGGCGACGCCTGTGCCCGCCGACCCGGCGAACGCGCGAGCGGGGTGCCGCCGACCGGGCAGGCCCGCCCCGGCCCACAGCGAGGCCGCCGCGAGCGCCGCCTCCGGCGCTGGCGTCGGCGCTGCCGTCGTCGTCGACGGCGGCGGCGGCGTCGTCGTCGTTGCCCTCCTCCTCCTCCTCCTCCTCCTCCTCCTCCTCCTCCTCCTCCTCCTCCTCCTCCTCCTCCTCCTCCTCCTCCCCCTTCGTCTTCCCTCCTCTTTCCTCCTCCTGCTCGTCGCGGGTCTCGGCGGACTCGCCAGCATCGTCGGCAGCGTCGGCATCGTGGTCGTCGTCGCCGCTTGTCGTCGGCATCGTCGTCGCCTGAGTCGTCATAGTCGCCGCTGTCCTCGTCGTCGTCTGGATCGTCAGAGCCAGCGGCGGAGCCAGACTCCGAAGCCTCAAAACAACATAGCCTTGGAAAGCCCCAATGAGGCCCGCAAGGCCAAAAGGCCCCCAACTTGCCTCGAAGACGGCCCTGAGAACCGCCCCTGGACGGCCCCAAAGACCCCCCACCCCCCGACGGCCCCGAGACATCACGAAAGGGCTCCGAGGGACGCCAAGACGGCCCCAAGGGGCCCAAGAGAGCCCCAACAGCGCCCAAGAGCGACCCGAGAAGGTGACGGAGATTTCTGCGTGCGCTTCCCCCTTGGGGGCCCGCCGTGCCTCCGGCGCTCTGCAGGCCCTCCGCTGTCCTGCCGGGGGCCCCTCTCCGACTCGGCGCGAGCCTCCACCGAGCCGGTCTTGGGCTCGGCGGCGAGCGAGGGGCGGAAGTGAGAGGGAGAAGGCCTCCTCAGAGAGGCGGCGGGGCCTTTAGGGGGCCACATGCGAACCCTACCCCTACCCCCCACGATTTCTGAAGGGGGGGGTGGGGGTCACTTCGATCGGGAGCTCCCGAGCAGAGCGAACCCCACCCTCTCCCTCAGAAATCGTGGGGGGTAGGGCTGGGGTTCGCATTTGGCCCCCTAGACTTGAGAAACTTCTCAGCAGGCTTGGGGAGCTCCTCACCTCGTGGGAGGGCCTTCTCCTTCTCACTTTCCCTGCCCCCCCCCGGCTCGCAACCGATTCTGAGTCCCACGTGAGCGGACGTCAAGGCGGAAGCTGGCGCCGGTCACCCGTTTGGGTCGCCTTCGCACGCAAGTGCACGCGGGAGGTCCTGCTTTTCTCCACCGACTCTGTCACCACATTATGGGACGCACTGAGATTCCAATACTACATGTCCTGCTTGGAGGCGCGCATCCGACCCGAGCATAAAGTATATTAATATTGTAGTATATCGTTGCCCGAGCGGTGTGGTCAGAAAGCGACCGACACGACGCATATACTATAAGATTTCTTGGTGCGCGCGTCGCCCCTGGTGGGCGACGCACATATAGTATGAGTATGCTGGGGTGACGCCGACATCAGGGACAGCTTGGCAAGCAGCATTTTGACCTGCTTCACCAACCTCACCGTCCATTGATTTGGCACCATCCCCAGCACAAGAATGTACCCCGATCGTCGCCTGCTCGAATTTCGCACCCCTCGGCTGCGACAGAGCCCGCGTGCCACCTAAGTCAGCAACCTACAGCAGAGCCGCAGAGCCAGACACTTGCGACGATGCAGAAGGCCGTCCGCATCGAGGCTAGAACGTTGATCAATGTTCTCCAGCATTCCCGTCAGCTTCGCAACGGTGTTCCCATGAGAACCGACTAGAGACTGTTGCGTCTGGAGTTGGCTGTACGCAGATTGAGCGTCAGACAGCAGGCCCGGAGCGTCTTTCGCGGAGCACGAACAGAACAACTCCAACAAACCTCAAACACGTAACTTTCAAGGGCGGCTCCACGTCTTCGAACAATTATGCTTCACAAACATATGGATGAGTATGACGTCGCAGAATCAGATACGTGATCGTAACGACAGGAGGCGATGACGAAGGACCGTCGGGAGGCCGTCGGAAGTGCTTGATGGAGCTCAGAGTAATGTCAATCAGCGGTAGAAGAAGCCATGAGAAGAGCACGACCTGCAAGAAACCATGTGCGTCCACGTGCGACGCTTGTTCACTCAAAAGGAGCGCGCGCAACTGCAGAACTAACGAGGTTTCGAGAATAACTAGCATGCAAAAGCGCAGAGAAACAAAACAAACTAGCGCCACAAAAGCTACGGAAGATGAGAAGGAAGAGGAGGAGGAGGAGGAAGGAGTTAGGAGAAAGAGGAGGCGGGAGCGGGAGAAGGTGGATCAATATAGGGAGGAGGGAGGAAAGAATTCTGAGGGCCTTCGATTGTAGTCCTCATGCGAAACCTGGCCACTCCTCGCTGCTCTCGCCAGCATCAAATACCGCCCCTAACCTACCAAAACGCCCTGAGAGCGAAGAAGAGAAGAGAAGCACTGGTCAACAAGGGAATACGGCAGGAACCCAGGAGGGAGGAGGAAGGAGGGATGGGGGGAGAAAAACCAGAGACGAAAAAGGAGGAGAGGAAGAGGGGAGGGAGGAGGGAGACGAGGAGAAGGGCAGGGAAAGGGATGAGGGAGGAAGGCAGGGAGGAGAAGCGGATGGAGCGGGGGAGGGAGGGAGGAGAAGGAGAAGGAGGAAAGCAAGAGGCTTGGAGAGCGGGGACGAAGGACGAGACGTGGCGGTCGGCAAAAGAGCGGGGGGCGCCACGACGACTGCCGCTGGCGTGCATCTCGCTCGCCGGGCGCGCTCCAGAAGCGGCCCGCACATTACCACCATGCTGCCCCTGGCGGCAAGGTGTTCCCGGCACCCT